TAAACACAGAAGCCCGGCCCATGACAGTGGGCACACTCAAATTTCTGTATAGACAACAGAGGAGGGGGCGGGTCATGGGGGCAGAGTATGCACATAGCTTGTAGCGTAGCCTCACGCCCTCAGTATCTCCAGAAGCTAGCACCGGCAGCCTGACCAACTACTGTAAGTCTTTTCTGTGGGGGAAAGGAGCACGTGTACTGACAGGAAGGAGAGGAAAGGTATGTACTGGTCAGGGACCAAAGAGTATTCCCCCACTTGAAAAATGGGGACTTCTTTCAGGCAACATACACACATATAAAATGTAAATAAATTGTATTACAAAAGATTAAAATTTATAAATATATATATATATATATAAATATATATATATATATATATATATATATTACCACACACACAGTTGCAAGAAAAAGTATGTGAACCCCTTGGGATTACGTGTCCTTAAGAGAGCGATTCACACCAGACATCCCAAGAATATTGCTACACTGAAACAGTTTTGTGAAGAGGAGTGGTCCAAAATGACTCCAGATCGTTGTGCAGGTCTGATCTGCAACTACAGCAAATGTTTGGTTGAGGTTATTGCTGCCAAAGGAGGGTCAACCAGTTATTAAGTCCAAAGGTTCACATACTTTTTCCTCCCTGCACTGTGAATGTTTACATGTTATGTGCAATTAAACCATGGCAACATCTAATGTTTGTGTAGTATTATGTTCAGCAGACTGTGTTCTTCTATTGTTGTGACTTAGATGACGTTCAGAGCACATTTTATGCCCAATTCATGCAAAACTCCATGTAATCCCAAGGGGTTCACATACTTTTTTTCATTGCAAACTGTATATATACAATTTTGGGAAAACATGTAATGCAAAGGAATTTATTGGTATGTAATACAGAATTTATGTTTTGAAACTAATATACCAAACATCCATTGCATGGAATCATATTGTTCTTTATCGTGTTCCCATAGAATGTTCTCTAGCCATCCTCTCTTTCTTCAGCTTACCCCTAATAAAAACACTTAGCTCTGAAACGCGTTGGCTCCTCTAGCTGAAGAAACACCTGCCTTCTTTCCTTCTCTGCCATCCTTTAGAGAGAGGGTCCATCTTTACAGCAAGTCAGCATATATATATTTTTTTTTATCGCCTATACAATGTGTAATCCATATTCCAGCTGTATACACAAAATGTGTTGATCTAATCAGTTTTTAATCTTTGTGAGATAAAATTTATTTAAATTTTATTTGTGGTGTATGTTGCCTGAAAAGTCTCATTTTTCAAGTGGGGAAAACTCTTTGGTTCAGACCTCCTGGGATGCTGGCAACTAGGCAGTGAAACCTGTAGTGGGTTCATTTGTTTTTCATGTACTAGGCAGGGAGGAGAGGAAAGCTCTGTTCTGGGGGGGAGGGGGAAGAAATTTGAGGACATTATTATTCTATATGGGGTCCACTTACAGCTCTGCAACTCACTTTCTTGTGACATGGAAGAAGGTGCAAGCAATTGTTTCTGTGCCACATAGTATGAACCAAGCCTAAGCCCTCCTTAACACCTGAGTGCCTTGTTATGCCATTCCAAAGTACACAAAGCTGAAATGTAACGCACTTCTGAACCCTGTACTCTGAATGTAACGCACTCCTGAACTGTGCACTCTGTACATAACACACTCCTGGACCCTGCACTCTGAATTTAACGCACTCCTGAACCCTGCACTCTGTACATAACACACTCCTGAATCCTGCACTCTGTACATAATGTACTCCTAAAACCCTGCATTCTGAATGTAACACACTTCTGAACCCTGCACTCTGTATGTAGCACACACCTGAACTCTGCACTCTGAATGTAACACACTCCTGAACCCTGCACTCTGAATGTAACACACTCCTGAACCCTGCACTCTGAATGTAACACACTCCTGAACCCTGCACTCTGAATTGTAACACACTCCTGAACCCTGCACTCTGAATGTAACACACTCCTGAACCCTGCACTCTGAATGTAACACACTCCTGAACCCTGCACTCTGAATGTAACACACTCCTGAACCCTGCACTCTGAATGTAACACACTCCTGAACCCTGCACTCTGAGAATGTAACACTCCTGAACCCTGCACTCTGAATGTAACACTCCTGAACCCTGCACTCTGTACATAACGCATTCCTGAACCTTGCACTCTGAATGTAAAGCACTCCTGAACCCTGCACTCTGTACATAAATTCCTGAACCCTGCTTTCTGTACATAACACATTCCTGAACCTTGCACTCTGAATGTAACACACTCCTGAAACCTGCACTCTGTACATAACACATTCCTGAACCTTGCACTCTGAATGTAACACATTCCTGAACCCTGCACTCTGTACGTAACAAATTCCTGAACCCTGCATTCTGAATGTAAAGCAGTACTAAACCATAAACTCTGAATGTAACGCACTCCTGAACCCTGCACTCTGTACACAGCGCAATCCTCAAACCTGCACTCTGTATGTGTTCCTGACATTCGAGAGAAAAGCGCTGCTCTGTAATTCTTAATGGCATTAGCAAAATGCCTGCGCTTTCATGCATGCAAAACAGCATGGTGCCACAGCACCATGTATTTCAGTGCGGCACAGTTTTAAAAAGGGTCAGGGACTTTTTTTTCTATGTTTTCTAGGAGTAAATAAACCCATTGAAATGAATGGGCTGCCTGCAGTGATGTGAATCGAGACTAAAACATGGAGACCAGCTTTAACCACTTGCCCTCCAGAGGCATTACCACCCTTTCCTGACCAAGCCATTTTTTTTGGAATTACTTTAACTGACAATTGTGCGGTCATGCAACGTTGCGCCCAAATTAAATGTATGTCCTTTTTTTTCCCTACAAATAGAGCTTTCTTTTGGTGGTATTTGATCGCCTCTGTTTTTTTTTATTTTTTGTGCTATTAACAAAAAAAATACTGAGAATTTTGAAAAAAAAATATATATATTTTTGACTTTTTGCTAGAAAAACATCCAGTAAAAAAAATTTTTAAAAAAAAAAATCAAATTTCGTCATAAATTTACGCCAAAATGTATTCTGTTAGATGCTTATGATGAAAAAAATCCTGATCCATGTAAATTAATTTGTTTACATGAGTTATAGCGTCTACAAATGGCGGTATACTGGAATTATTTTTTTCTACTAGTAAGGGCGGCGATCAGCAACTTATAGCAGGACTGCGGCAGGCATTCTGACATTGGGGGGGGACTGACTAACTGTCGCTGACATCCCCAGTGACACTGATACAGTGATCAGTGCTAATAAAAAGCACTGACATTGTACTAATGACACTGGGCAAGAAGGGGTTAACATCTGGGGCAATCAAAGGGTTAACTGTGTGCTGTTTTACAGTGTGCTGTGTCTGTGTCAGCACATTGCTATGCAGAGCAATACAAAGCAATGTGCAGAGGCTGACAGGGGATAGATCTGTATCGTTTACATACAGGTCTCTCCCCGTCAGTAATACTTGGTGATCGCCAGGTGCTGGCGGGGAATCACTGTCTGGGACCCGTTGATTGAGAGCTGAGGCCACCAACGCCGGTGCGGGTAGGGGCAAGTGTGCGCCCCTACCCAGAAATGCAAAATCACGTATATATACGTGATTTTGTGCAGCCGTGCCGCCCTGTAGCAGTATTTCTGCTATAGGGCGGTGGGCAAGCCATTAATTCTTAATGGTGTCCCTATGCTGTAGCAAAATGCCTGCGCATTCATGCATGCAAAACAGCATGGTGCCATAGAACCCTGTATTTCACTGCGGCACAATTTTAAAAAGGGTCAGGGACTTTTTTTTCTATGTTTCTGGGAGTAGATCAATCAACCCATTAAAAATGAATGGGCTGCCCAACATGCAGAATGCAGCCTGCAGTGATGTGAATCGAGACCAGGGGCGGACTGACATCTCATGGGGCCCCCGGGCAATAGGGGATCATGGGGCCCCTGTGTCCTTGCCCAAACTCAAAAAAGCCTATGAAAAAGGTACCAGGGGGCATCTTATGGGGCCCCCTACTGACCCCGGGCCCTCGGGCAGTGCCCGGGTTTCCAAATGGTCAGTCCGCCCCTGATCGAGACTACAACATGGAGACCAGCTTTAAAGCCCTTGGTTTAAAATTACAGCCAGTCAATCTTTTCTCTGATGAAGAGGTCAACAATGTCAGTCTACATATTTCTCCCATGAAAAAAATGCTTTTTAAAGTGACTTACGGTACATTTTAATTTGTTGACTGCTAGAGAGATGTCTGTTTTCTATTCCGATCCCGTCCTTTATGAATAATTGCTATCTTTGTGTAACCCTGGATGCAGAAAGCAAATCCTGTATATGCAATAAGCAAACAAGGATGCCTTTATGTACATACAGTGTATAATTACAAACTATAATTACAAAATAGAAGCAAAGTTTTCATAGTTTATATAAAGCAAACCTTTTAAGTAAAAGAAAAAAAAAATAGTAAGAACTATACTTTCTCTTAAAAGGCTTTTGAGTGAATTCATAACTGGGCTAAAGGGTGGAGTTTATATTTGCTTGAAGTTAGGGAATCATAAAGATAATGAACAAGAGACATGTAATATATACAGAATATCTCTAGCACACATGTACCTTATGTCTGCCCATTAAAAATTAACTAAATTAGGGGCAATAAAGAGGGTGCAAAGTTTGTTACCAGGTCAGCAGAACTACAGGTGCATGAATTTGAATTCCATTTGATATATTATATTTAAGAACAACAAACACAAATTGCAGCAAAGCCTGTGTGTTTCCATTAGCAGCTGATGCATTATAATGTGCTATATTTCTAGTGCAAATTAAATGTATGTAAACTCTAACTTAACTTCTCTTATTTTGCTCCTTTTTAGTCTGTTTAGTCTGCTATACCAATAAAGGTTTTTGATATATCTGTTAAATAAGTGCAAAAAATCAAAACAAAAACTCTGTTCTTGCCAGAAATCCAGTGAGCTCATGACCAGCATTTAATACAGGGATCCTCCCCTATCAGGGGCGGACTGACCATTTGGAAACTCGGGCACTGCCCGAGGGCCCGGGATCAGTAGGGGGCCCCTGAGATGCCCCTGGTACCTTTTTCATAGGCTTTTTTGAGTTTGGGCAAGGACACAGGGGCCCCATGATCCCCTATTGCCCAGGGGCCCCATGAGTTGTCAGTCCACCCCTGCTTCTGGTACTTCCAAACACTCTCCTTTCTCCAGATTGATAATGCGGCTGTCCAAATCTGCCCCCTGTGCTTCTTACTCCAGAGTGTTTGCGCTCTAATATAGGAGGTGTGTTACTGGCCAGATCACCAGGGAAAAAGGCCTAAAAAAAAAAACTAATGCAGCACTACATCTAATGATTGGTAAACTGCGATATATTACATGTTTGTTGGGGTTTAATACCATTTTATGTTTACCCTGTTAAAAGGAAGGAAACTACAAACCTCATTCATATCTATTCATTCACATCTGGAAGCACACCCAAGTCCAGGCACACACCTAAACATTAAAAGAATTGATCCAGTTTTGAGCATGGTTACCAGGGATTTCACACAAAGGGAACAGGATACAAGTACATGGTACAGTAGGGACATATCAGGAGTATGAAATGTTGGGTTTACATATTCTTTAACAAGGAAGCGTTAAAGAATATGTAAACCCAACATTTTATATTCCTGATATGTACCTGTTTTGTACCATGCACTTGTATCAAAAGTATCCTGTTCCCTTTGTATTGCTTCCTTTGTATGAAATCCCTGGTGTTCCTGCCAGTACCTTTTGCTTTCCTAATTTTTTTTTTTTTAAACTGACCACACTAGGCATGAGAACACAGCATGGTCAGTTCTCCAGCTATGCTGGGAACCAGTGGGCGGACTGACCATTTGGAAACTCGGGCACTGCCCGAGGGCCCGGGGTCAGTAGGGGCCCCATGAGATGCTGGTACCTTTTTTCATAGTTTTTGAGAAGGACACGGCCCCATGAGTTGTCAGTGCCGCCCCTGTCCCCTATATAGACTTCAATGGGATCTGCCGCTAAGTTGCATTCACAAAATTTCAACAAGATTCACCAAACCTTTGAATCTCATTCCTAAAGCTAACATACAAATATTATGGGCAACGTAATTCATTTTGTATTCTAAACAATGACACCTACAGTAATGAAACTGCTAGAAATGAATACATAAATAAACAGACGTAGCTGCTGGTTACTTGTGGTTCAATGTTGTACTGTGTTAGCCATAAATAGCAGCTGAAAAGTACAAATATAGCCTTTTTTTGGCAAACATAGTATATATATATACTATAATGATGGTATAATATTTTTTTTCTTTTTACAAAAATATGTGTGAAAGTGACTATATGTTTCTCATTGAAAGCGGAAGGATGTAACATTCTTTTGCTTCCGCTTGTGATGAGACATAGCTATAACAGTTGGAAGCCTCACTTTTGTCATTCACTATGTGTGTGCTGCTTATTAATATGGATTCATGTCCCAGAGCATACTGAGCTTCAAAGAGGGCAAATTGTTGGTGTGTCTCTATTGGCAATTTATTTGTTGTGTCGCGAGGTACAGTATCAAAGGTTATGACGGCATATACAGTTTCCGGGAAATGTTGCCCAATAAACATAAGCACAGCCAAAATTATCAACAGACCAAAGGGACATTGTGCAGGATTAGCGACTCAGAATAAGAAAACAACTGCAAAAGTGACTGCCAAACTTAATCTCAGTCTTCCAAAGCCAGTGCCCACAAAAACTGTGTGGAGGGAACTCCATTAGCAAAACATTCATGGGTGAGCTGCAATTGCCAAACCACCAGTGACCGATATTAATGCTCAGAGCCAGAGGCGCGACTGACCATTTGGAAAGTCGGGCACTGCCCGAGGGCCCGGGGTCAGTAGAGGGCCCCATGAGATGCCCCTGGTACCTTTTTCATAGGCTTTTTTGAGTTTGGGCAAGGACACAGGGGCCCCATGATCCCCTATTGCCCAGGGGCCCATGAGTTGTCAGTCCGCCCCCCTGCTCAGAGTAGAAAGTGGTGCAACACCCTAAATCGTGGACTATCGATCAATGGAACAACTATTGAAAACAAAAAGAGTTTACTATGTCAAGAAAAATGTAGACCAGTTCACTTTGACACTATAATAAGTGTTGTCATTGTAACCTATATATCTGTAGCTAAAAAGAAGGCCTCGTTCTCATATCAAAAATATATCAATGTTGTTAAAATATACTATAAAGTGCCACCAGCATTGAAGAAAAACATTGACTGATTTAAAGCATGTGCTTGAAAAACACTGAACAGCTTTGTGAAGTTCTCCATTTTCAACAATTTCGACAAATAACCCTGGTTTAGCTCAAATAGTTGGTTCCATACTCAAAATGGTAGCACGCCGGGCTCGTAATTTAGGGGATATTCTGATCCAGTCGGCATTTAAAAAGAACCGAAGTCAAACTGGCTTTCAGATTATCCCAATTCAAAAGGAATGTTCGCATGTGGGAAATGCCTCATGTGTACATATGTGGACTGCACAGACAACTTTTATAATGCCCTAGGAGAGAAAAAATATCAAAGTCAATATTTAATTAATTGTTCTTCTGCTCAAGCGATATATATGTCCTATCCCTGTGACAAATTATATATAGGAAGAACTAAAGACCCTTTAAAATAAGGATAGGTGAACATATGAAAGAAATAAGAGAAAAGAACCTAGAAAAAACCATTAGCAAAACATTTTGCTACCAGCCATGGAGGCAAAAATTGACGGGCATAAAAATGAAGGGCATTATATATGCTTAATTATCCCCAAGAAGTGGTGACTTTGATCGGATATTGTTACAAAAGGAAAAATGGTAGATTTATAGGTTAAAAACTTTAGCTCCAGTAGGATTAAATGTAGAGATGAACCTCCAGGTGTTCCTCCAAACGAAATATAAGATATATCTGTCTTCATATTCAACTCTTTAACTGTTTTTCAATTTCCTTGTTTGGACTTTTTCATTTGTATCCTTGGCATTTACCAATTTACACACTTCTGTCAATATTCGGGATCAGTCCCCTTGGTAACTCTCTTTTCCCAGACAAAACTGAATACATTCGATATTACAGTTATTGCTTTAGATTTGAGTATCTACTTATGCTTTCTGCTTTTTGACAGGTGTATGCTAAAGCTATGAAATACTAGGTTGGTTGAGCGGGGAGAGAAAGGTGTCAGTGAAGAGTGAGGTTAAAGATGTGGGTTAGAGAGTCTATGATAGAGCAGGAAGGAGGCTGCCATTATTTTGAGAGGACTGGGTCCAGAGGAAAGCTGGTGAGGTGAGCCGGAAAGGAGTTTGGCAACCTCCTCAGTGGTAATAGTGCCAAAGGAAGAGAGTAGTGAGTGTGGTGTTGGACCTGGTATGATGGTTGGAGGAGGAAGCTAGGCACAGGAGATCTCATCACGAATTGTGTCGATCTTGTTCTTGAAAGGACTGGCAATCTCCTAGGCAGTAAGTAAGTTGGTGGGTGAAGGCAGTGGGGGATGAAGTAAGGAATTAAGCATAGAAAAGAGTTGATGAAGATTTTGATGAGAGTGTTTGTAGTAGGTATGTTTAGCAGTGTGAAGGCTGGAGTTGTATTTGAGAAGGGCGGATATGTAGAGGGTGAAGTCTTGCAGAGATTTAGTTTTACATCACGCTCGCTCAAGAGCACTACAACATCTCTTGAGACTTCTGGTGCCATCTCTTTGTCAAGGTTGTAGCAGGCGAGGCCTGGTCTGCATGTAGAGAGAGGAACAAGTGTGTCCAAGGAGGATGATAGTAAGTTGTTGTAGGCAGATGTGGCCATAAAGGCACTCAGTAGCAGAGTGAAGAAGGGAAGGGCTGAGGTGGCGGAGGTTTCTGTGAGTAACTGTTTGCTGGTTAGAGGCATGGGAGGTAGGAAACAGGGAGAGTGTGAAGCTGATAAAGTTGTGATCAGAGAGAGGAAAGGGGGTGTTAGAGTGGTTACAGTGAGTGCATAGGTGGGGGAATACAAAGTCGAGGGTATTGCCATTAGCGTGTGTGGTGGATTGTGTCCATTGTGTTAGGTTAAGAGAGGAGGTTAGGTTGGATCCTCTTGGAGGATCCTGGCAAATCCCCAACAGGAGGATTGGCAAGGTGCCAGGACAACCTTTAAGAGTAAGGGAGCCTGCTCAGCAGCAGGAGAGTTCGGGGGGAAGATAGAGATAATGTGAGGTTGGAGAAAGGAGCTTGGGAGGGGGCCCAGATGGGAAAGGGACACACCTACAGGCAGTGGAGCTTGGAAGAAAGACAGCTCAGACCTTCACCGCCCTCCAGAGCAAGGACCACCTGTGTAGCAGGGAACAAGCAGCCCAGGTAGAATGCCTGGTAGCAGCCACCAACCCACCAGCCACACAGGAGAAGGACTGAGTGAGTACACCTGTACCCCCCACTAGGCCAGAAAGTGGAAGGAGGCACTCTAGTGGGAAGCTGGATTGGCTTGCCACCCAGGACTGTTTCACTAAATTTGTGGCAGACACCGGATCCCCTGCTCAGGGATTCCTCCAGACAGCTGGGTAAAGAAGAGGACTTATCTGGGGTCTGGAGTGGTACTACAAGAGATGCTGGCTAACTCTCCAAAAGAAAATATTTTGCTGTAAAGACTTATTTTTCTAGGAAGCTGTCCTCAGTTTCTCAGTTTTGTTGGGCATACCATGCATCCCCAAGTTCAATTCCCTAATAACAACCCCTGGACACAAGTCGGTGTGAAAGTGTGTGTTGCCTGGCTGTGCAGGACTACTATATATATATATATATATATATATATATATATATATATATATATACACACACACACTATATATGATTTTTTTTTCCATTCCTTTTGTGTGATACCATGGCTGAAAAAAAAGAACTGAGACCTCTCCAAATTAATGTAGTAAGCCAGTTAAATGTATGGTTATTTATGATACAGCTGTATGTGTAAGTGTGATGGAAAGGCTATTGCAAATAATCTTATCATCATCATAGCAGTTGTTTTTATATTTAGAATTCTTTATAGCTTTCTAAGTATAGATGCAAATACATACAGTATAATATTAGATATATATACTGTATTTCCTGTTTAGCAATGTGCCAGAGTGATTATACTTTACTATTCCTTATCTCCTCATTTCTCGAGGCAGGTATATAGGCTGAGCAATGTC